TTAGAGTTGGAGGTCGATACTCCAACCACTAAACTACTTGAATTTTTTGATAATAACATACAAATAAATTATATTTATATACAAATAAATATATATCCGTGTAAATATCACTTGTAGAAATCCAACCCAGGTGACCTTGAATCTCAAATCCGATTCTAGCTTCGAAGATCTTTAACCCGAGCATGCATGACTCGACCTCAAGCTTGAAATCCAACCCGGTGACCTTGAATCTCAAATATGAGTGACCAAAACACCCAATCAAAACCCAAGCAACTTCAAATCTCAACCCCGACCTCAACCTCGACGAACTCGAGGCCGAACCCCAACTTCGGCGACATCGAACCCCAATGTCAAGCCAAACCCAATTGTCATGCTTGTGAAACCCAACGCAAACCCAGCGGAGCTCGAACCCTAACGCATACCCTAGTGACGTCGAACTCTAACCTCGAGCCAACCCCCACTTTAATTCGGTCGCAATTAGCGATTGATTGATTGCTCAAGGATGTGTAAAAGATGATATATTCAATGTATGTTAAAAAGTTCAAGTCAAACTTGTTTTTATAGAAGATTTTCAAAACTCTTTGGTTTAATTAATCTGTTAAAAGATTCTTTTAATCTGTTAAAAGTGCAGTTTTAATCTGTTAAAACTTCTTTTAATCCATTAATACGTTCTTGATTCTTTAACTGATTTGTTTTAAGCGATACGACAACGTTTATATCAATTAAAACACTTTACAAAAAATCTTCTAAGTTGATTTAATCGATTGTTTAGCGATTCAATCGATTGAAATACTAGCAAAACTTTCTCGTAAAACTTTTCAAGTTATTTTAAGCTGATAAAAACAAGTTTTAATCGATTAAAGCAGTTCGTGCAGAAATTGTTTTAATAGATTGAAACGAGATTTAATCGATTAAAATAGTTCGATCAGTCATAAGCGCATTCTGATCGATCATAATTGAAACAATATAATAGCGGTTCCAGGTTAACCGCTATCTAAAATGTTTTTCGCTTGAGCGACACTCTTCTCGCTCGAGCGAAACGCCCTGCACAAAATTGGCATTCTCGGGTTGTATTTCGCTTGAGCGACACTACTCTCGCTCGAGCGAAATAAGATTCGATCGATCATAACTTGAAATGATCGATCATAATTTAGAGGATATAATAGCGGTTCCCTTATAACCGCTATCTAAAGTGTACTTTAGATAGCGGTTCCCTTAGAACCGCTATCTAAAGTGTATATTAGATAGCGGTTCCCTCATAACCGCTATCTAAAGTGTATATTAGATAGCGGTTCTCTTATAACCGCTATCTAAAGTCTCGTGAGTTTTTGGTCTGCCACCGAGTTAATAAAAAGACTTTCCACGTCGGTTGTTCCCTGAGCAGAGCGTGGAAAGTGTCAATAAGTAAAAAATAAAAATAAAAAAAGACTTTCTACGTCGGTTGACTAAGAGCCGACGTAGAATGTGTTTAATATGCACTTTCAACGTCGGTTCTCGGATGAGCAGACGTTGAATATACTTCTACGTCGTCTCAGCTATAGCAGACGTTAAATAACGACGTAGAAAGTATATTTTGTAGTAGTGTATTATTCTCTTATTTTGCACTGATGTTTAGTTTTTTTTTTTTTACTTATATTTATTTTTGATTAATTGAATGATTATGTAGATTTTGAAATTTCATTAATATTCAATATTAAAGTAATCACCATTTATTATAAATTAAAATTTCGATTAATCCAGTAATTATATTTTTTAAAAATTCAATCTAAGGATAGAGAAGTTTAAGTATATATATATATATATATATATATATATATATATATATATATATATATATATATTCATCCGTTAAATATTAGATTGAAGATGAAGCAATCTTTGAATCTGAAGTTTAAATATATCTTATATAGGTTTAGTTATAATCAACATAATAATTATATAAAAATTATATTCATAGCTCCTGTTATATTTAGCATAATAATAAAATAAACGATTTTATTATAACGTAAAATATATTTTTGGAAAAATAATATATTTTATTTTTGAAGTCGAATAACTTATTTTAAACCAAATCATATTTATAAAAATTAAAATTATTATAATCGTGTGGATTATGAAAAGCTTCTATATTTTAGTTATAATTAACTTTTTTTTCTAAAATATTTTAAATTAAATTATAATAGTTTTTATATTAATGGTTTATTATGATTTTATATTATTAATTATGATTACAACTTTTAAGGAATAATTATTTCTATATTATTGTTTTGAAACATAATATATTTTTTACAATAAATATTACTTATGTGTATAGTTTAATTTTTTATAATAATTTTTATTAAATGAAATTAAATTATTCAAATCATATATATATATATATATATATATATATATATATCTTTTTCTTTTTGCAAATCATATTGTGACGTAGATAGGAATATTTATTTATTTATATTTTTAAGAGATGGTTCTATTGGTTTATAATATAATTTTATTTTATAAATAATTACAATTTGAGAATATATTGTGTAGTAAATAGTATCAATGTGTGTAAATTAGTTATTTGTTAAGCAAATCAGGAATTATATATTCAAGATGACGGTTAAGAGAAATTTAAGTTTTTTTTTTATATGTCTATTTTTACTTGTATAAATTTCTATCCATTGGACTGTTATATTAATATTGAGTATTTAGTAATATTTAATATTATTAAACAAATTACAGATGATTATAAATTTAAATTTTGGCCGATTCAACTATTATGGTGAAATTGGAAATTCAATCTAATAACAAAGTACATTTTACTTATATAGTATCTGTATTATGAAAAACTTTGTCCTTTTAAATTCACTTGAAACCTAAAACATTAGGACTAGTAGATGAAAAACATGTAATAATATTTAAAACAGTAATTATACCCATAATAATTCTTATAAATAAATGTTGCATATAATTATTAAATGAAATATAAAATTAAATAAATATATATATATATATATATATTTTTTTCTTTATGAAAATTAGAGATTAGTAGCTTTAAATATAACAAGTAAAAAATTTAAAAATAAAGAATAAATTAATAAGGGTAGTAATGAAATTAAAAATTTAAAAACTTGAATAATATCACATAGTTAAAATAAAAAATAAATAATAATTAATGATATAATTTTGAAAAAATATAATGTTAAAAAAATTATGTATATATTAAGATTTTATAATAATCAATAGTATCATTTTAAAAGATGTAAATGTTATAAATTATTATTTACTATTAATTGATTTGATTGATATTTATTAATTTTATTATTATTTATATTATTTAAATATTTATAATTTTTAAGTTGGGTTTGATAAAAAGTGTATGTGATGAAATAAAAAAACAATATTTACAAGAAAAATACATGAATTAAAATAATTATATTTATTATTTTTTAATACGTATCTTTTATAAAAATGTTATATCAATATTATTTTTATAAAAATGTATACTTTATCACTTCTTTAATTTTTTTAATGTAATTGTATATAATACATTAATAATATTTTAAAATAATAATTTCATTTAAAAAAATAAATATAGATGTAAAAATAAATTTTTTGTAAGAGAAATAATTAAAATGAACCCATTAAAATCTTGTAGGGAAACTTATAGCTAGGGATGACAATTAAATCTGTACTCGTGGGAACTAACTCGTCTCCACCCCGAGTTTGACAGGAAAATCCGAGTTAATCGGAGACGAGTTTGAGTTTTTCCGCTTTAAAAAGTCGGGGACGGGGGTGAAGATGAGTAATGTAATCATGACCTCGTCCCTGTCCCAACTTTATATTTAAATTTAAATTTTAAAATATTAATATTTTAAAAATATTTCCTTTTCTTTTTCTATTACATATAAAGTCATTTTTTTTATATTTTACCAATTTTTATTTTTCTTTTACTCACCTTTTAATCTTTTTTGTCTTTTTTAATATTTTATATCAATTAATTTATTACATTATTCTCTCTTACCTTTCAGCTTTTTTATATTTCTTTAATCTCTCCTATCAATTTGTTTTTTTTTTCAATATTTTCAACCAATTTGATGAACACAAAGTTTATTTTTTTCTTTATATTTTTCTAAATATTTTACATAAATTTTAATAGTAGCTAATATTAAATTATTTATCATTTATATTTATTAGATTTTATTATGTCATATTTTTTATTTTATATATCATATATCAAATTTTATCTTAATAAAATAATTATATTTTAAAAGATTAAAAGAAATTAATAATTTAAATTTTTATTACTTTAAACTAATAAAATAAGAATTAACTTATTAAATATTTTCTTATAAATTATATATTTCATATTTTAAATAATAATTTTTAAATAAATTAATATATATATATATATAAAATAAATATTTGAGTATAATATTATATTAATAATATTATAGATATTTGTAGATAGTGTTATAATAATAATAATAATAATAAATATATATATATTTATATATATAAATAAAAAATAATTAAATATTTATTTTATATATATTTTAATATAAATATAATAAATTTGTATATTTAATTAATAATAATTATAAATATTTATTTATATATAAAAAATATATAATAAAATTAATTTATTATAAATATAATTATTTTTAAAAAATAATATAATTCGGGACGGATAAGGAACTCAAGACCTACAAACGCGAACATGAATCCTTAATTTCTAATTGCACGGATAGTTTAAAAAGTGGGAAGCGGAAATCGGCGAGTAAAAAGCCGCTCCCGGCCGCCTCATTGGCACGAATACTTGCAGTTTAGGTTTGCATCAAACGGGTCAGGTCAGGTTAAGATTGGCTCATCGTCGTCTTCTAGTCCGTCTCCTCTTGCTTTTCCTAACCTCCATTGGTGAGTAGCTAAGAGGAGATAAAGAAACAAACAAAAAAGGGTTCCTCCCTCACTTTTCTTGAAGGTTCTTATTAGTTAAGGAAACAAACATATGATATGATATGGGTCGTTTAACAGAGTCGAAGTTGGTTCAAGACCTGGTTCTGTACGCAGCAAGTGCAGCACTCAGTTACCTGGTCTTGTTCGTTGGCCTCCGACAACTTGATCCGAATCGCGAGGCATCCAAAAAGGCCCTTCACCACAAGAAAGAGATAGCCAAGCGTCTCGGTCGTCCTCTCGTTAACACAAACCCTTATGAGGTCGGTAACCTTTTCTGTCCCAATATCCATTTTTCTTATCACTCAACTATTTTTTGTTGAAATTTGTTGTATGATTCTTTGAATACTGCGCTGGGATTGGCGTGATATTTGATTCTGTTGCTTGGCTGTTTGCTGTGCCATTATTAGACTAAGAAGGTGTTTAAGGCATAGATATAATATGGGTAAAGAAGAATCCTGTCAGCTTTATTTACATATATGAATTGTTTGCCACTTGTTTTAGTCTTCCTGGTTATGTCTAATTTTGACGGATGTGTCAATTGGTTACTTATGTATGTATTATAGAAGCTAATGGTATTCTTTAATTTTTTGAGCAGATTAGTCATGTGCCTTTTTCTAACTTTCCTGATTCCTTTTATGTACTATGTTGGTTTCTGGAACAATTTCACAGGGAATGCCTATTTGTGCAGAGTTTTTGGGGGTGACAGGCGTATGGGTGGGAAAGGTCTTTTTGCATGAGTTTTCTAGTTGGATTTGTAGTTTCATGTGCCTCTATTCTGAATGAATTTTCTGGAACTAGTTTTTTATATTGTTGACTAATTTCGGTCTGAAAGATGAAATAAGTTTGAAAACATAATCATATCATCACAAGTTAGTGAATAAAACTATACTTGTGTCTTTCATATCTTATATGGTTATTTATTGCATTAATTTATTTCAAAAGATCCATTTTCTAATTTTCTGTTAAATGGAGGGATCAGAGATTATTTTTTAAGTTTGTGCCTTTTAACTTGTACAGGATATCATAGCATGCGATGTCATCAATCCTGATCACATTGATGTGGAGTTTAATTCAATTGGAGGACTGGAATCGATAAAGCAAGCTCTGTTTGAGCTTGTTATTCTGCCTCTAAAAAGGCCTGACTTGTTTTCTCATGGTAAACTTCTTGGGCCACAAAAGGGTGTCCTGTTGTATGGACCACCTGGCACAGGGAAGACCATGCTTGCCAAAGCTATTGCTAAGGAGTCTGGAGCTGTTTTCATCAATGTGAGGATATCAAACCTCATGAGCAAGTGGTTTGGAGATGCCCAGAAACTTGGTATGCACACATTATGTTTATTATCTTCCATTCAATCCCCAAAAATTATTTTTGCATCTGTGTAAAACCTTTTCATGCAGACTATTGATTTTGCTGGACATGCTTTCTTTTCTTGTTTGCTTAATATGAGATTAAACTTATTTGGGCCTATACCTAATGTGATCAGAATTGATTAGAACAGTTTTAATATAGTTACTTTGCCTGAAAAATATGTGATAGTTGGATTGAATTATTATCAAATGTGGAATATGTTCTTAGGTTTCCAATTTTTTGAAGATAATAAAGTGCTTTAAAGTAGTTTGATCGTCTGATATTTTAGAATGGTGTGTTAGAAAATTTAAAGTGCACAAACTGTTTTGTTTATTATCTAACTGAAGTATAGTATGCAAGGGAGTGCTCTATATTGAGCAGTCTGCATAACATCATCGCTACATAACTGAAACAGAAAGGTAACTAACTTCTACCACTAACAGTTGCCAGCTGTAACCGACAAGTGAGAAAATAGAGTGAACATTACTATACACTAGTATACTCTAACATTCCCCCTACTCACTTAGGGTGATGGTTGAACACTAAGAACACCAAGCTTGTCTCTAAGAGTAGTGAACATAAGCTTCAACAGTGGTTTTGTAAGGAAATCTGCAATTTGATACTGAATTGGAACATGAAGAACAATGGGAGACTCAGCTAGGACTTTGACTTAAAACTTTGCAATTATAGAAATTTAATTAAAAATTAAACAATGGAGAAAAGATAATATTTCATAATTGAAAAGAGAATAAAAATAAAGATACTAAAAAAATCAGATTTTGATTTAGAAAATACTGGGAAGATAATTCGGGATTGAAAAAGATTATGGTGATTATGTTCAATTTAATCCTTTATGCTTTTGGCTAACTCGTTTTATCTTCCTAGCATTACTTCTATTATATTGAATTTAAAACCTAGGTTTGAGGATTATATGTCCTTTTGGAAGAGAGAAAACCAAAAATAATCCTCAGCTCTCACTTTCCATTTTGGAACGCTCACCAGTTCAATGAATATTCCCCCAGCTTAAAGACAGGCTAAAATCTGTTCAGACCCTAATACAATAAAAACACAAAATTAAGCTAATAAAGTCATAGATGTCATACGCGTGCTAATTGCAGCCTTTGGTGGGAAGCTAGATGGTATGCTTTACCAGTTGCCTCTAGCTCAAAATTGTCCCTTTTTACTTCCAAAAATTCTCTCGATGGTCATGTTTGGTCTTGAAAGTCATGTATGTACTAGAAAGACTCCATTTAGCTTCAACTGTCAAATAATATGGCTCCTGTGCACAAGAAAATACCCAAGGAGTAATTGGTTGGACAAAATGAATAAAATGCAATGAAATTAAAGACCTAAGAAAAATAATTATTAATGCTGATAATGCTAACTAAAATGCTTCCTAAATGTAGACTAAATGCAATGTGTGAAATAAACCCAAACTTAGAGATTTGCTTGTACTCAAGCAATTACCTTGTGTAGAAGCTTTTATTCAAAAGATTCATCAAATCAAAACTCAATCAATAAAGGCACAAGCAGTAGATAGCTATCAATATGCAATCAATTCAAACACGTCTTATTAGAAACTTATCCTCTAGAACTAATGTTTGACATGTTCGCATAGCTCACTTAACTCTAGTGTTATAAACTTTTCAACTTAAAGTCTAGTACCATAGGCTTAATAAATAACCTCATCACCACTAATTACCAAATCAACACAAGCAGTTCCTACTATTATTCCCTATTGGAAGGAGAAATAAAAATGGAGATTGTAGTGAGAGAGTTGGAATAATGTAATGAAGTGCTCAACTTAAATATCATCTAATGGAAGTATTTTAGAAAACTGAAGAATTTAGTTACAAATTAGAGGGTTCGACTATCTATAGATTTCCTAATTACAAGTCCCCCATGACCAAACTATTAAACCCAACATGATGGTGATCAAAGGTAACTAACAATTATAAACTAGGTTTTCTTACACATATTGCTCTACTAATGTACATGATATTCCGATACTCTCCACAACCTTGAGAGGGTGTGCTACTAAGTGATTACTCGTAGAAAGTGGATGTAGACCTAGCTCAATCCTACAAAAATTATTTTGTTAGATGAGATTTGCTCCCACTTATATGTTATAAATTGACCATATATATAGATGTAAGATCTCTAATGCATCTCCTTATGCCAAGGACTAGTCATTTAAAGTGAGACTAGATATTTATTGGTGATCCAATAGTGGGTGACACAATAGATCTAACGAATCTCGTGAAGTAAACTCTGGTTTTATCTTAGAAAGTGAGATTAAGTCTAATTTAACCCTAGAAACCTCGCTAGGATAGGCTCCTCCACCAATTACTTATTCGGAGCTTGAATCTAAAAGCAGTGGTGAGTCGGAAAGATTGAGAGAGCCTTGGTGAGGATGTCAGCACATTACTGAGTGGCTGGGACTAATAATATGAAGTTGCTTGCTTAAGACCTTCTAAAAAACACAAAAAGAAACATTGCAAGCTCCACGCAGTGTGTGGGTCTGCAAAAATGGGATTGTGAGCAAGAACAACTGTACTCATTCATATTGTCACAGAAAAGACATGGAACAGAATGATTGACACCTTGCTCAAGATAACAGTTTGGGCCCAAATAATTTTAGCGGTGGCATGGGCCAAGCACTTGTTCAGCCTCCATATACTGGAGTAGGTGACGGCAAGCTACTTCTTTGATCACTACAAAACTAAGTTTGAGCTAAGAAAGATACATGCACAAGAGATGGAGTGACAATTCAACATCAAAGGCCATCTGGGAGATGCTAGCAACAGGTGAACACCCTAAAAAATAGTATCCTTGGGGTAACAAAGAATGCACTTGACAACTTACCTGTGAGCTTCAATAGGCTTGGACAAAAACTGGCGGGCAGACCTTGTTCACTGAAAATCTGCTCTCAGTGCTAGTTGTCGAGGCATAACTTTTAAGATAGTGACAACGAATCCTTAGAGAGTTGCATCTAGTAAAGGATCTGAAACTTCCCTGTAGAGTTGACTGCTTGCAACCATGGGAGAAGAGATAGGTTTAGCCTCTGCCATTTTTGGTTTAGAGAAAATCAGTATTTATTCGTTGTAAATGGGAAAATGGTTGTATATTTGTTCTTGCACTGCATCTGTTTATAGGGAAAGAATATGCATTGAAATAAATTGAGGCAATTTGACGTTTATGTGTGCCTTCAATTTGACATTGGGTTTCCTAGTTGTCTTTGATAGGTTAGAGCTTAGAATCTTTAGTTTTGTGATAAGCTTTGTGCACAATCTTAATTGTGATTTATTGTTTGCTCTTTATATACATTCATGAAAATAGTTTTCTGTGCAGGTAGGACCGTATACTTATTATGTTATGACCTCACCTTTTGCAATTCTATCTTGTGTCTGTTTAGGATCTGAGTTGACAATTTTGGTGGATGTTGTTTATTTCCTGTGCATATAATTCAAACAACTGATAGCCATATTGAAACAATATCGGCACACTCTGAATTATTCTGTGAAGTCTTTGTTTTAGATTACCACTGATGTGCTGTTGATTTTTGTAGTGGCTGCCATATTTAGCCTAGCTTATAAGCTCCAGCCTGCCATCATATTCATTGATGAAGTTGACAGCTTTTTGGGTCAGCGTCGAACAACAGATCATGAGGCTTTGTTAAACATGAAAACTGAATTCATGGCCTTATGGGATGGTTTTACTACTGATCGTGAGTTTTAAACGTGTTAAATACTTCTCTTCCGAAGCACATGCAAATCCTGCAAATTGAATCTCTATTTAGCATTGTTAGTTTTATTTGTCAAAGGTTTATAATTATGATGACTTTTAATCTGTTGTGTAGAGAAAGCTCAAGTTATGGTCCTTGCTGCCACTAATCGTCCTTCAGAACTTGATGAAGCCATACTTCGACGTTTTCCTCAAGCATTTGAAATTGGCATGCCGGACCAAAGGGAGAGGGCTGACATATTGAAAGTTATCTTGAAGGGTGAGAGGATTGAAGAAAACATTGACTTTGATCATATAGCTTACTTATGTGAAGGTTACACTGGTTCGGATCTATTTGACCTGTGCAAGAAAGCTGCCTATTTTCCAATCAGAGAACTGCTGGATGAAGAGAAGAAAGGGAGAAGTTCTTCTGTGAGTGATTTATCATTCTCTTCTATTTTCTCCTCTACCACAACATTTTCATTTTTATTGAGTGAGTCTATTCTATGAACAAGAGGCTGAAGTTATATTTGCATGGATTGACTATCGTGTCTGGTCAATGAAAGCAATTAATTGATGCCAAATATGATTGTTTTATCAAAGCCTTTTTCTAGACTTTCTAGTTTTTGAAGAAATATATTGAAGTAGAAGCAGCTAATCATCCTTTCTTTACACTGGTTAAATTCTTAATCTTTTGTCTCCTTTACTTTTATCCTGCAATTAAGAATGGATGGAAGAGGAAACAAGGAATTGGCATCGGTAAAATTAAATTGAGCAGTTGTATTGACGGCTGCATCTGACAATATTTATTTTCATGGTTCAGGCTCCTAGACCACTGTCCCAGCTAGACTTCGAGAAGGCCCTGGCCACTTCACGAAAGACTACTGTTGCTGCATTTGAATACAATGGCTTAAGTGCAGGGCACGGGGAAGCTGGTGGTGATTATCAGGTTCAAGCTGCAATAAATGAACTCTCTAAGTTTGTGGTATCTCACGTGATTAATCGCCAGCCAGATGCCAAAGATCTTTAAATTGTTAACTTTCTTAGTTTACACACAGCATTCTCATACCGTTTTCTAGCTCAGTCCAAGTTGTAAACGCAACCATCTCATATTTATACTCTTTCGAGAACATACGTGAGTAAGCATCATATGTTGAGGTGATGAGCTATTGCATTTTGTTGATCACCGTTTTTATTCTGATTTCAATTTTGGTGATGCAAATATATAATTAATATTTAGTAAGTTTAAAAGATTAACTCCTCAACCTAATCTGTTTTTACTGTAATAGCTCTCAAAAAAGTAATTCACATATGACAAGTACTAGAATAACAAGTTTTTTAACTTGATAATATATATACGAACATAGATCAAGATCAAGTAACTAAGGAACATTCGGTAAAAAAAAATAGCTGGAAATTTGAAGTTGAGAAAATAATTTTTATGTTTGGTTGATCTATTAAAATAATAACATTTTCATCAAACAATGATAATAACTTTTTAACAAAAAAATGAAAAACAATTATTGCACTATAGGATACATTTACTAGGAAATGGTGTATGAGAAAGTTTCTCACAAAAACATGAAAATAAACAACATACTGTAAGGGAGTTGAATAATATCTATAATATATATATAAAAAATTTCATTTAAAAAGAAATGTTTTTGGACTTTAAAGCAGGTTGCAAGAGCATTTTTTTTACAACTATTTGTTTGTTGAAATATTTGAGTAAATTACCAGTAATTTGAAATTATTTTTTATTAAAAAATAAATTACTTCAGATTTTGTTTCTTTATCAAATAATTTACAAAATGGATAAAATAAATAAATAAATAAAAAGAGATAATGAATTATTTAAAATTTATTAAAAAAGATTTAAGTCGAGCTAAATTAGTTATAACTTGTTTAATTATTATGTTTTACATTAATTCTATATTTTATATATTTTTAAAGATGAGAAACAATTTGTACAAGTTATTTTTATTAAACATGTCTTATGTAAAAAGTTTTAAAGTATAATCAAAGAGTAAATATAGAAAAAGACGGTTTTATTAATCAAAATTTATTATAAATGAAGTATTTTACTCTAAGCATATATCTTTTAGATATTTTTTTTTTATACAAAATATTCTTTAAAAATATTTTTTAAGAGAACCATTTGTCATCTTTATATTCTTCAATTTTTTAATATTATGACTAATAAATAATTACTCACCCATATCAGTTAGATTATAAAAACAATAAAGTGTAAGGATTTAGATGGTTATTTTCAATTATTTTTTGAGTGCCTTTCTGAAATAAAAGAGAAATCAAGTTTATAATAAATAATAACATGTAATTATTATTAAAATAACAGAAGTGGGGAGAGTAAGAACAAACAATAATTACATTGGGATAACTTGAATTTTTTTTTATATTTATTTAACATTATGATTAAATTTGTCTAAAAACATATTGAAGAAAATTTAAAATTAATGTTACTGTATTATGTAAAATACATAACAAGTATGTAAAATTTGCTACCTAAGCAAGGAGCAGCGTGCGAAGGCGTCGGATAAATCTCCATACTCTGATTTCTGTCACTCTGAAAAACAACATTGTGTTATTGCATAGAAAATTAGAATGTAAATATGTGAAGTAAAATTAAAATATTTTATAATACAATACAATTTATACCATCTTATTTTATAGAAAATAAAAATTAAATATTTTATTATTTAAAAGTATTATTTTATTATATTTTATTTAAATTAGGTATTAAATAATTTTTATTATTAATTTAAAGAAAAAAATATTAAATTTATTTTGATTTAGATAATTATGATTAAAATAATTAATAGATAATATTTTATTATATTTTTACTTTATATATAAAATATATAAAAATACTAAAAAAATATATTTCTTTTAAGATTATTATGATGTGTGGAACGTAGTTGGAATATCTTATTTCCAATACTACTGATAAGATCTCAATTTTATTTTAGTTTAGCGAAGTTTTATATTCCCTTAATTTTGTTATAAATATTAAAAAATATTAAATTTTTTTATTATATTATAACGTAGAAACCTATTCCATTAATCTCTACTCACATAAAAACTATTATTCCATTAAAGTACACTTATGATTAATATTATTTTTAAATTAATTACGTAATGAATACATTTTATAAAAACAATATACTTTTATTTCTGTATAAGAAAGGTTGATAGAGTATTTAACAAGGGTATAAATGGTATTACATTGCCACTTATTTATTACATTTAAATAACAAAATATTTATTTTCTAACTATGATAGTCAACGGAGGAAGAGTTAAATTAAAATAATAGAGGTAGAAAAAGAATATTATGTTGATTTTTTTAAACATTTTTATTTTATTTTAAGTAAGATTTTTATGCCATTTTTAAGTAATTTATACTAAATTTTTATAAATTTTGTTTCAATCATTAGTTTTTATAGACTCTACTATTTTTATAATTTTTATTTATATTTTACTTGATAATTTAAAAATAATTTAGTTATTATAATTAAATATAATTTTTTAAATTTAAAATAATAATAAATTTATAGGAAATTTTAAATTTTTTAAAAAGATTTGTTTTTAATTTTTATAAAACTATTTCTTTTAGAAAAAAATGATAAGATAAAAATTAAACTTAAATTAATTTTATAAAAAAATAAAAATATTTAAAAAATATTATATATTGTTCTTAAAATATTATTTTTATTTTATTAATAAAATAAAAATAAAAATATTTCTATTATTCTTCTTCTAATTTATAATTGACTTAAATAAATTTTAAATTTTATTTTATTTTAATACATATAATTTGAGATGCTAATTATTAAAATAAAGAAGAATGGTTAGATAAAATATATTTTTTTCTATCGAACACGTTGTAGTAACTTATAAAAAAACATAAAGAAGTCAATTTTTTTAATTAATTATAAGAAATATATATACACTTTCTCATGTATTAATTACAAATTCTCTTTTATAATCTTAATTTACTGTGAACTTTATTAGGACATTCAATCATTTTTTTCCAGGTATTTATTGATCTATGAGCAATTAAAAGTCACATTCAGATGTGAAAAAACAAATTATCTCATGAATTATGTATAGAGTTATTTATTAATATTAAAAATATTTAAATAATTGAATTCTACTAAAATTTATAGAATAAGATTTAAATATCCCACACTACTAATTAAAATTAATCAAGCAACTTATTTTATTGGTCTTGTCGACAAGAACATATTTTTGTAAATTTTTTAAATAATAACGTTTTTAGGAATAAATTTAATAGGTATAAATAAATTTTTAAAAAATTATATTATCAGTAAATTAGAATAACTATTGATACAATTTTCAACATAATTACAATAAAAGTAATAATTTTATCACAAATAATTTGTTAATACATGACAATGTAAATTTAGATTATTCATGAACAACCTATTTTCTCGTTAGGATTAGCTTTTCATTAAATTACATTTCCAAACCCTATATAAATTTATATATCAAGCATTTGCATTTAAAATAGAATTTTATTAATTTCAATTTATTTTTAAATTTTAACATAAAATTTTTATTTGATTTCACATCAAACCCAAAATTCTCTTGTTCAACCAAATTAATGTGTCCTTAATTATCACTTACTTCACTCAATCTATTATTTTTCATATTTATTTCTAAATTGAACTTCAATAATTTTCATATGAAATTGTATGATTAGAAATAAGCTTTTTCATCACAGTATAAATTGTTTACTGTAAATTCCAATTGTAATTGATATGTAGAAGATGTTTAATAATTTCTATTATAAATATGTATCATATGAAAGGAAACATCTATCTTCTGCAATGTCTAAACTAAGATACTAGATTAGCAAATCAATTGTAAAACTCAATTTAGTAACATTTTGAATAATTGAAGAATTAATTAGAGGTAATGATTAAAAGAAAAACACTAAATGGTGAAACCAAGTATTCGATATGGTGGCATTGAGGATGCACAAGCTGAGTGGATATAGTTCAAAAAAGCAGAAAAGGAAAGAAAATACATGTTTGCAGACACTGAGATGTCATGTTACTGTTCCTCTTAGCTCAACAACAATCACACTGGTGTTATCTCTACTTCCCTTTGCCAATGCAATCTCAGCTAAGAGGCCTGCAGCCTCGGTAGCACGGTTTTGATGATTCCCAACTCCATTGCACACTCTCCTTATCTGTCCATTCAGGCATTTCCTTACAACTTGGCACGCAACTTCACTGGACATCACATCCCACAATCCATCACTTGCTAGTATCAGAAATTCATCCTTGCTGCTTCTCTTGGTCACTGTCACTTCTGGTTCTGATATTACATAAGGTCGTAGGTACTGATCTCCTGCATCAGTCAAATTACAGTGTCAGAATGGATAGAGATTGGAGCAGTAATGTTATCTTGTTTCGACAGTAACATGTAACTCAAAAACCAAACAGATCAGTTATCTTCAAGCAGAATACAAATACTAGAAATACATATCTCCAAATGGTATGCATCTTAGGGAAATAGATTGCATTTGAAACAATGTTTGAATGCAGTCAGTCTTGTTAAATATGGTGATTTAGATTTGTCCTTTCTAGATCCGTTACATAAAGCACTGGCAAATTCAATTTTACCATTTATTAAAGATAAATAACACATCATTGATTAAAATACAGTCAAGTCTATGTATTTGTCCTTTCTAGATCTGTTTCATGAATAACACGCAAATTTAATTTTACCATTTAGGATGCGTAAATCATTGATCTAAGTTAAATATTCAAGTTTGACTATTTAAGCATGTGGGGATTAGAGTGCTCCATGCAACTTGATAGATTAAGATTCCTTAATATTGAGGTAAACCACATACATAGCACAAAACTCTCCATTTATTAGTTAGGAGTCCACGTGTTTGACCATATAGAGAGAAGCAATTTTTATGAGAAAGAGGACGTGGAAGATTGAAGACAATTGTCCAAGTCTTTTGAATCATTGTTATATTTCTGTCCAATCTTCAAGTTCAAGACTTCAAATAATAGACTTCACCAAAAGCTCTGAGAGTTAAAACCAGTCCTGAGATATGCATACGTTGAAACAACCAAAGCAAACTTGTTTTACATAGCAGAATCATCGTTAATTACATTATTTTATGTTCCTTTTTATCGGGCGGATCTAAGCAACAGTGTGTCATTCTGATTAGTTAAGATTTAAAAGGTAATAATTGTAGAAATTCAGATATAAGATCGGAGAATGCAGATAATAATAATAATACTCATTGTGGTCAATGTTGCCCTGCTATAATCACGAAACCGATAATAAAAAGCCAGAGGGTGCCAAGATTCTTCTGTCTTTTCAGTGCTGATCAGATAAAAACGTTATGTTAAAAAATGCGAACCCAAAAGGATAATACACACGACACCGAAGCAACGTCGTAAAGATCTCTCAATTAACGGTTGACAACCAGGATTATAGTGAGAATGAAGACTTGAAAAGTTCAACACAAACCTATGGATCGTGAAGTAGCAAGAACACCAAGCACACGCTGGCCATTCCAGTTAATGACCCTTCCACCAGCCTCTTCGATTCGCTTCAACTCGTCGGGCCTATCGGGCTGTGCACACAGAAAGGAACCACAATGCCATTCATTATCTTATAATAAATTGCTTCGCCATGAAAAATGAAACAATATAAAAGCTGTGATACACCCATTACAAAGAAGATCGCAAATCTCGAAATAATAATCCAAATAATTGACTCTCCAATAAGACAAAAAGACATCTTTCTCTTCTGGACGCTACACATAACACACACTCCAGACATTCACTTGCCAGCAACAATTTTGTAAAAATAAACATTTTGAACATTGACTTGTTTTACATATTCAGATAGTTATAATCAAAATGGTGCTACGCCAGCTTTTAACACATAATAATACATAAAATCACAACTTATAAAAAAAATGGCAGCAAATTTACCCAACCAAAATAAAAAATGTAATTTTTTTCTATACAGAAAATATTAATAAAAAACAATAACAATTCTATGACCATCTTTCCTAAAAAAAATTAAATAATTAAGAAAATGTAACAACCATACCTTATGATCACTAGACAAGTCCAAGGCCTCACCTCCTCTTCCCAACACGGCCCTACAATCACCGCAATTAGCGACGACAACCTCCTCCGCCGCGACGACGGCGACAACCGCCGTTGAACCAACAGTCCTGACGGCCGCATTATCAGCGACCTCGCCATCCATTTTACGAAAACACCCTTCCATCACTCGGTGCCAGTCCCATTCCACGTGATTCTCACTTCTCTCCATCTCCTCCGCCACCAGCCGGTGTGACCGCCCCCGACACGCGTCCGCCACCTGAGCTCCGCCGTGGCCATCGTAGACCGCGAAGAAGTCGCACTTTCCTCTCTCCATAGCTGCAAACGCTATCTCCGCACTCACCGCGTCCTCCATCTCCTTCCTGCTCCCTCTCACCGACGCGTACCCATACAACAAAACGCCGTCGTTTTTCTCCGCCGCCGACCGCTCCTCCTCCTCCGATGACGACGACGACGACGTCGTCGCCAGCGAAAGCGAAATCTCGACGTGCTCGTGAATCTCTCTCCTCCCTTTCTCCGGCGGCGGGGACACGCGGCGGGTGTCATTCCCGATGCGGATCTTTGCCTGGCAAGTGTACTTCATTTTCCGGATTTTGAGCCTCCTCCGGCTACCGTTGTTGAAGCCGGTGAGAATCTCCCTGGAATCGGGGTCCACTCGCCGGACGGCGTTGGCCGAGGGCGAGTGGCGTTTTGGCGTCTTCATAGTCGTTTTTGCATGCAACGAACTGAAAGCAGCAGAAGGAACAATGCGAATAAAAAATAAGAAAAACGGCAATAAAGAGAAACGGCGTGTAGCGTGGAAGGAGGGAATTTAAAGTGTTTGATTGCGAGATCTGAGAGTCGTGGATTGTGGACCGTTGATTTGAAAGGGAGGGTGTGATGCGGTAACAGGTGGATATTTATGTAGCAGTGAGTTGGATTGTAGCGAGGGAGACGTGGACGGGTGAGATCGAAGGGTGGGTACGTGGAGCGTTGATGTTGGGGTAAGTGATACGGTTGATGTGAGTGTGGGCCCAGTTGGTGCAAGGATATGATAGAAAGAGAGAGAGAAGAGAAGAGTGAGGGTCATAGGTTTGTAGACGTGGCATCCCACAAGTTGCTTTCCCCAGTTTTTCCTTTTCTTGAGTTCCGCGAGGTTCCTCGACACGTGTTCTCTGCACCTGGGTTGCGTCTCTCATTTGTGCCTTAGATACCCTTTCACCCTTTTCCAACCACTGCACAGCACACACACCCTCACCCTCTTCCTTCTCTTCCTCTTCTTAAATTTTCTTACGTTGAAAAATGGTGCCTTTTGTGGTATGATTTTTGTGTGTGGAAATATTTATGTTCTTGGGCACATTCTGTTTGGTGAATTATTGTAGGAAGAAGAGTGTTATGGAAAATATCTTCCGGTTTTCTACTTCTCGCGCCGAAGTTCCATCCAAAACACATACGTAACTCGCAATTAGAGACTCCTTCACTTCTTTCCTTAGACAAGTGTGACTAGTTTTTTTTTATGTGGTGGGACTTACACTATTTAATTATTTATCGAATTATTCCATATCTAATCAAGTTTTAGTTTTACGCTTTCACAATATTTTTTCTTCCAAGTGTTATGATTTTCAAAAACTTTTTTTTTTCAAACATCACTTTTCGAAGAGAAAATTAAGAAAGTGATGTGTTATTTATACATATTTGAAAATTAGACGTTGAATTTAATTGAAATCTTGGGACGAATATATATGACAAAAGTTATTTTTAAAGACATTTTATTTGTCTATTAACATTTAATCTTCCTTTGGGCCTTTGATTTATTGTAGTTGAAGAAAGATGAGAAGAAATTTGAGTGAAAAGATTATGTTTTGATCAACTTATTATGATTAGAAATTATTTGAGTAAAATCCTCTTGAAGAAGTTTCTTCTTAGAAGTGGTGAGAAAAGAGGTCAAAGTCAATTTGATTATGCTTAATCTTCAAAATATTATTCTTTATTTTTTTCTCTATCATAAATTATTAGAAGTGGTGGAAATATCATTCATCGCTTTTTATAACATGTCTCATTCCTTTGGATTTGCTTTAAATTTTAAAAAATCTAATTAAAATCAAATTTCTTTATATATATATATATATATATATATATATATATATATATATAACTCTGTTATGTTTGATTTCCGTAATTATATAACGAAAAATAGAAGCAAATCAAAATACAAACACCCTTCTCATCCCTCTTATGTTTATCCAAGTAACTATAAGTACAAAACATATTATGAGTTTCTTTAATATGTTAAAAGTTTATGATTTTTCTAGAATTCATATAATTTTTCAATAAAAGCTATCTTCGGTCAGATTTTTTATCTTTATAAATCTAGTTTTTACTATAAGAAACGATTGCTTCATAATCGATTCTAATGGTTATTTTTGACTTATCTATCAGAAATAATTTAAATGCTTCAAGAACATGTATGATAGCATTGACTTCATAGTCAATGCTAGTTTGGTACACATGGGATTTAGTATAGTGTATTTGTCAGAGGCATACCTACAAATTAAGAAGCATTATATAGAAAAACAAAAATATTAAATTAATGAATAATAATTTATATGTGAGACCTATTTTATAATTTATGAATCTTATAAACTTAATGGAGAAGTAATGTACAAGTGAGATTCTATGAAGGAAAATTTCCTCACTAAAGAACAAAAATAGTAACATCACTAAAGAACAAAAATAGTAACATTAATTAAATTTTTAATTATTATTATTATTATTATTTTTATTTACTAAAAGACTGATTCAATCTTTCCGTCCCTTGAAGATTTCGAGGAGTTTCTCATGACGTAAGCCCTTACGTCATACAAGCTGTATCAAAAGACGACAAAGGTTAATGACGGATAATGATATATTACTACCTTGTCACGATTCCTTTTCCGTTACATGTTGTTAGACTTGTTAAGCCTTGCATGTAAATGACGGAAATATTGAATCAGTATTTTGGTAAATAAAAAATAATAATTAAAAAATTAATTAATGTTACTATTTTTGTTCTTTGGTGATGTTACTATTTTTGTTCTTTAGTGAGAAAATTTTCCTTCGTAAAAATCTCACTTGTACATTACTTTTCCATTAAATTTATAAGACCCATAAGTCATAAAATGGATCCCTAATATAAATTACTATTCATTAATTTAATATTTTTATTTTCTTATATAATGCTTCTTAAGACCATGGTGGGCACAAACATTCTTCCTAAGAGCTTCCACAAACACCCTTCTCATCCCTCTTATGTTTATCCAAGTAGCTATACTTAGAAATAGGAACAGTTTCTTCCTATTTTAGCATTTCAAACTTTGTTAACAACAATATTTAGACTAAGAATACAAATTTTCTTATTATAACTCCAAATATCATATTATCAACATAAACTTGAAAACATGTAAAATGTCTTGAAACTCTCTTTTGATAGAATTTTTTCAATCAAATTTTTCTCTTTTGAAAATTTTATTTCGAGTAAAATGTTGCGAAACCTACAAATTCTGGTAAGTACAGTATCCTTCTGAATACTATAGCAATAGCCTAATAACTGAGTCATAAAATCATTTATACTCTTTCAAGAACTTATAACACCATTTAAAATCTGATAATTAACCAAGCTTCTACTCTTTGAAAATAAAATAATAGAAAATCATATAAATAATAATAATAATAATTATTATTATTATTCATTGTGATTTACTCTAACTAAAGGATTAGTTGTAATTTACATGAAAGAATCCGAAGAAAAAGTGAAACTTGTATCACTTGCCATTGTTTCATGTGGATAGAGAGTGGGCTTTGGAGGTATTTCAAGATTGTCAATATCTCCTTCAAGCATTTCAATTACTCTGTTCATTGAAGGACGATCACTTGGCTTTAATTGGATACACCAAAGTGCAATTATAATCATCTTTTTTGCTACTTCCTTTTCTTCGTGAGTAACATCTTCCATTTCTATATCTTTTTCTTTCCCGATATGCTTATAAATCCAAAGTGGAAAGTAAAGTTGGCTTGAATGCTCTGCATGAGGATTTAGGTTTTTCCTTTTGTTTGTCATCTCCATCAAAAGCATTCCAAAGCTATAAACATCAGCCTTATGGGATATTCTTCCAATATTTTTGTAAAATAACTCTGGAGCCATATATCCAATTGTTCCTCTTGCTCCTGTCATTGTAGCAATGCTATTATTTATTGGATATAACTTTGCCAATCCAAAGTCAGAGACTTTTGGGGTGAAATTTTCATCTAACAAGATGTTATGAGGCTTGATATCAAAATGCAAAATTTGCATCTCACACCCATGGTGAAGATAAGCAATCCCCTTAGCTATTCCAATTGAAATATTATATATTTCATCGTAGCTTAAATGTGCACTTCCATCTTTAGAAAAAATAATTTTATCCAAAGATCCATTGGACATGAATTCGTAAACAAGAGCACGTTTTGATCCCTGGACACAAAATCCAATCAATTTTACTATATTTTGATGATATATTTTTCCAATAGTTGCAACTTCACTAATAAAATCTTGACCTTCACCTCTTGATTTACTTAACATTTTTACTGCCACCCAAGAGCCACTAGACAACTTTCCCTTAAACACAGAACCATATCCTCCTTCACCCAACTTGTCCTTGAAACCTCCTGTTATTTTCTTGATTTCCTTGTATGAATATCTAATGGGCATCAAATTGGCATGTTCCAAATAATTTTCAATGTTTTCGTATATCGATGAATGCCGATTTTTCCATTTGTAGATCAACAGTGCAATAAATAAAGTCATCCCAAACAAAAGTCTACCTGCCCAGAAGGATGGTAAAACGTACTGTCCTATGATTAAACCTAATTTATAGTTGCCATCAAATCCCGTATTATGTCCTTTTATTCTTTCAACCAGACCTGTAAGTTAATATCATAAATATAATCATGTTGGAAGAAATGAGAAAGAAAAGATATGTGCAACAAATTGTTAATATTTCAAAGTTGTTATTGGATCGGACAAAGTAGAAGAACTCACCTATCCAGACACCATATATAGTATCTGCAAGAAAAACTTAGCTTAGTGAATAAATAGTATGACATGTAATTGTTTGATTGACTGACTATAATGTTAACATGAGACGTAATGAGTAAGATATAAATTTATCAAAATAAAACATCATCTGGATTACTATATTGTCTATGATTTTAATATGTAACATTATAAAGAAGGAAATTTATTTTTAACTTCTATTATGTAAAATGAATTTTTAAGTCACCTCAATTTTCATCGGATAAAAAATATATGACTTAAGAAAAGATAGTGACATTTTTATAAATAAGAGATATATATTATTTTTACGTCAGATTTATTAGAGACTGACGTAAAAATGGCTTTTTAAGTCGGGTGGTTCTAATCAACTTAAAAGTCGCATTTTAATCGCTGTAGAGTTTCTTTTCTCTCCCACGCACGAGAGTTTTTGAGTGACGATGACAGTAGCGACCAAATCAACTCCTCTCAAGATATATTTCGACCATAGTGAGTAATAAAAACACCTACATTGTGTCCTATTTGTGGTGATTGACGTTTTTTTCCCATTGAATTCGAGTTTTAGAGCGTCTTTTGTATATTTGAGATTAATATTCTATGTCTCCTCTTTTATGTTGACATTAAATCTGTGATTATTTATGGGAATTTCAATCACTTATTGCATTAATGTCTTCGCTGAATTGTTATTGAAATTGAATTGTTGTAGTTTGTGATTATCCGTTTATGCGTTTGAGTAAATTTACGATTTATACACTATAATTTTATTTTTTCACGGTTTAGTTGTTTGAATCTCATATTTTTTGTTGTTTGTATATTAATTATATGATAGAAATGAGTAAGTAAGAAACAAAATGTGAAGAGAAAATACTACAGTATATAAGGTTTAGGGTTTTATGATGATGAAAAGAAAACAAAAAATATTTGAAGGATAAGTTTTGACTCCAATGTCGATTTGGACGCACAATATATGAAAACGAAGGGAAAAAACGAAAAAGAGGAGACTAATCCTAATAATTTTTGAAAAATATGCTCCAAAACACATGTAATAAACAAAAGTAGCGAAAAAGAAAAAAATTTATAATATTTATACTCTTGTATTTAAATTTAGAAAATAACATATTTTTTGTATAACTAATTTTTGGACAAAAGTAATTTGCTTTGAATATTTGTTAATCTGTATGCATATTAGTCAAATTAATATTTCAAGTATTTCAAGATCCATCTCAACTATCGAATATGATATTACACAAATTAGAGAACAAAATTAAAAAAGTACACCAGATTTTTTGTTCAATATTTCTAATATTTTAGTTTGTAGGTTATTGTTTGTATTATATTATATTGTATTATGTAATTTAACATTTAGGTAGTTTAGTTTTTATACTCGTTTAGACTTTGTATTAGTTTAGTTTTGTAATGTATTATATTGTTAAATTTTTGTCCATTAAAAATCTTGACTAGCGGTAAGATAAAATAAACTGAATATTAAAAAAAATGATTCGACATAAATTTATGTCGATTATATCTTCAGTTTGACATAAGTTTACATCAATTATTCTTTGATCTAACGTAAATTTATATCGATGATCATGTTTGACGTAAATTTATATATCCTATATTAATGTCACACTCATGTTTGATGTAAAAAATTCAAAATATACATAGTATATTATTATGATTTTAATTGATTAATGAATTAGTAGGGTAAGTCTTAAAAACAAAAATTGTATAATATTAAATAATGTTAGATTATTAGGATTTAAAATTAAAATTTCCATTATTTATAATTAGAATTGTTAATTTTGTTATAATATCAGAGTGAATCTAGGACAGAATTGATTTATTGTCAAAATTAAAAACTAAACTTATTTATTTTTTCTGGTATACAAAGGGTCAAAATAAATTCTAACATATATTTGTTAATTCTAACATGTATGGAATCATTGTTTAAAACTGATATGTATGCCAACACATGATTTTGTTCCTAGAATTAAACACATTTGCGCATACCTATACATGTATTCAAGGACTTGTAAGTTTAACAGTTAAAATTCTCTTATGGCCAATTAATGTAATTGCACACTCAAAGTTTATTACATGAATAATGAATTTTTATTGTTTTATAGTTTTTGTTATTTTGTATATAAATAAAGCAAAGGTTAACTAAGATGATAAATTTCTTACCTCTTGCATATAACAGAAGCTGGTACCATATCGGTCTACCATCTGAAAGTGAAACAATATATCATTTTTAGAATTCCATTGATCACAACAGTTAAATCAATAAATTGAATAATAAAGGGCTTTAGTAAATGTTACAAATTGTGCATGTGATCGCAAGAAATTCATAGTAAAATGAAATATATTAAGAAATTTTACTTCCTTTACCACATATATCCAAAATTCCCAGGAAACTGTGGCAATCGAGCGAGCAATCAACCAACCCGGAAGTGTCCCAGTTGCAGGAGCTAGCCAAATTTCCACAAATGTCGTTGCAGGCGCGAATCATCCACGAAATCTCAAATCCATAAACTAGTGCTTTGTGAATCTCAGTGTAGGAATATTTATGTGCGTGCAAACCCCACCAAGATGTGAGAGTAACCAGTTTTACATGACAACCAACTTCTAAGTCCTCTGATATTAAGTCACCAGCAATGGCAAACATATAGCCTTTGGAGTGCCAATTCACACAGGGAGCAGTATCCACATACTTAAGATTGTCACTCACTGGATGGCTACAATTCATGAAAACTATATGTTCGAAAACAGGCTCTGAATTAACCGTGTGAAACCTATCATGATTGAAATAGAATGTTTGATTTGACAATCGTGGTTGACTAGTTTGGTATGCATCCATGTCGGTGTAAGCATACGAATCCCTGAAATTGGATTGAGACAAGAAGTAGCGAGGAATGTTGGAACAATTTGATTGTTGAACGCCCGGATCAACCACTCGGATTGTGAAATTATTGTAGTTGATTGCCTGCACAAGATATTTTCCGGAGTACAAAGATAATAGCGTGACATTATTTTCACAGGTGAGCTCATACCTGTGGTCGCCGCAGTTTTCTGGGTCGCCTTTTAATCGAAATGGATGCGTTATGTTGGTGACTTTGCCACAGGAAGAAGGAGGACAAGCATGACCCTGCTTACTAGTTGCACAAATTTGCTCAAGTCGAAACAGCAGGATCATCAATAACGCGCTCTCTCTCCACATGTTTCTCGTTGAAACTGAATGATGAAGGCAGAGACTCGCTCTAAATCATTTTCTTTTATTGAGTTTTTATGATGGTAATGTTAAATTGGACTATTGTGGAGGATATAAACACATTATAGGAGGAATGAAGAGCAAGGAAAATAATCACTATTATACCCTCATGGAAATTATACCAAATTACATGTTTGATTATACCAATTTACTTGTTTGAGGGTCCCACTTAACTGCAGGTAGCAGTAAGTTATTAAGGAGTTAGACAAAGAAGGAACACTCCTATAAATAAGAGATACGTAAAATAAAATGAGGAAATTCTGAAAATGGAAGAGATTTTCTTGGAAGTTAACCAAAATATCATCGATACATAGAGAGGGTTGTTGGTAGGAGATGAAAGACTAATTTGAATGCTCTTGATAAGGTTTTGAGAAGCTGTGACCGCTAGAAAGAGGTAGAGAGAAAAGTAGAAGGAAGATATTTAAAACATGGGTGGGCCATGGATTCAAATCATACCGTAAAAGTTGTTGACATTTAAGATTGGTGGTAGACTTGGACTGACGGATTACATTTTCTCCTTTGGAAAATTCTGCAATAACATTTAAAACACAGACGTAGACTTCAAGGAGAAACCGCGTTTTCGGATTATCCCTTTCCTTCTACCGAGATTCGTTGACTTAGTGTAAATTGTAATAAACAACAAAATAAAATAGTGTAAATATAAATTTAAAGAGACAACAAGTTTGGCTCAATCTGGTTTTTTCTTTTCCCAAAAGAGAGCAAGCACCTGCATTGCTGGTATGACCGAGTCCACTGTGCTACTCCTCCAAGGTGAATCCATATTCATCACACTATTGCTAATACTCTTGCTTATCGTAAGTAGCAGCGGCAATAACGAGTCCGCAGAATCGCGTTGTGCGATTGGAGGACCGCCTATTAGATTTCCCTTCCAAAAGGGAATGAAAGATGCATGTGATTCTCCCGGATTTTGTCTATATTGTAGTGAAAAGAATGAGACCATGCTTGTACTCGCTGCAGTAAAACTCCGTGTCACATACATATATTACCCATCTCAGAGTCTTTACTTGGAAGACCCAGAAAATTGCCTTCCGAGGAAGTTTCTAAACCTCAACAATATTTCTATTCTTCCTTACGAATTTTATTCATCAAATTATGGACAAAAAACAAACTTCTTGAACTTCTTCGATTGTTCTTCAGTTGGGCTTCCTCACCTGAGAAACAACGACCAGCTATACCAGACTTCGCAAAATATGATCTCTTGTCCGACTTACGTTTCCAATTCCTACGAAAGTGTCCTTGAACTTGATCTAACATCTTGTACCAAGATGTTCAATATCACTGCGCAGGTCTCGGCATCCAACCTGCGGTTGAATCAGTTGAATTTGAGATGGTCCATACCAGATTGTAGTAAGTGCGAAGCAAAAGGCAGCAGGTGTAAATGGAAGAACAACAGCACAACCGATGTCGAATGTGTTGTTGACTACAATCCCCAAGGAAAAAAAATTGATATTCCCCAATCTTATATTTTCACTGCTACAGGTGAGATCAGACACTATCACACTACTTTACTTAAGGTCTTTTTTATTTTTTTTTCCTTCTCTTTAATCAAGTCGCTTGATGTTATGTAGGTTCTATTCTTTTGGGGCTGGTGGTTATTGCCGTGTTTAAGATAGCCCACCATTTTAGAAAGAAGGAAGAAGACCAAGCTAGAGTGGAGAAATTTCTAGAGGATTACAGGGCAGACAAGCCTGCAAGATTTACCTATGCTGATGTTAAAAGAATCACAGGTGGTTTTAAGGAAAAGTTAGGAGAAGGAGCTCATGGAGCCGTATTTAGAGGAAAACTTTCAAATGAGATTCAGGTGGCTGTGAAGATCCTCAATAATACAGAAGGAGATGGGAACGATTTCATTAATGAAGTTGGAATTATGGGAAAAATCCACCACATCAACGTGGTTCGTTTGCTTGGCTTTTGTGCTGAAGGACTCCATCGTGCCCTTGTCTACAACTTGTTTCCAAACGGCTCGCTACAAAGCTTCATATTTCCACCGGATGACAAGGACCGTTTTCTTGGCTGGGAGAAGCTGCAACACATTGCTCTTGGAATAGGTAAAGGGATTGAGTATCTTCATCAAGGTTGTGATCATCCCATTATTCACTTCGACATCAATCCTCACAATGTGTTACTCGATGACAACTTCACTCCAAAAATTTCTGACTTTGGCTTAGCCAAATTGTGCTCCAAGAATCCTAGTTTGGTGTCCATGACAGCTGCAAGGGGAACCTTGGGATACATTGCACCTGAAGTGTTTTCCAGAAACTTTGGAAATGTGTCTTACAAATCTGATATCTACAGTTTTGGAATGTTGTTGTTGGAAATGGTTGGAGGAAGGAAGAATGTAGACATATCTTCTGCACAAAATTTTCATGTACTGTACCCGGATTGGATCCATAACCTGGTTGATGGAGATGTCCATATCCATGTTGAGGATGAAGGTGAAGTTAAAATTGCAAAGAAACTAGCAATTGTTGGACTTTGGTGCATTCAGTGGCAGCCAGTGAACCGTCCATCCATAAAATCTGTGATACAAATGCTAGAAACTGCAGAGGAAAACCAGTTAACTGTTCCCCCTAACCCATTTCACTCAACAACTTCCACTACTACTGGTAGACTCACCACAACAAGACGACCTTTGGAGTTGGAAGCGATTCAAGAATGAGAGAACACTAACTTCCAAAATCACACTGTTTGACTGATCTGGTTATAGTCGGAGAAACTAATGTATTATAGAATTACATTCTCTTGAACTTTACCTGTTATTTCATAGACATTTTTATATCATAGTGTTTCTGGTGGAATTTCGATTGATTCCGATCCTAAGAATGTTTTGGTCCTAATCGAAATCCTCCCACGTAAGTTCTTTTACATTAGGCTAGCAATTTGATTTTCAATCGAAAACGTGTATGATATTCGAAAACTGTAAGTATCAAGAAATCCTACTTTGGTATTTTATGTCTAAAATGTTCGACTCAAACAAAGCAGTAAAGTATCGAATCGAGAAAAGAGAATATTAAATTGCAAGAAAGTGCGAAAACCCCAAATTTGCAAGAAGTTAAGACTACACGAAAAGTAAATGACAGGAAATCGAAATGTGCGAGAAATGTAAATTGCTAAAACCCATTAAGATTGCACAAAAAGTAAATAACAGGAAATCGAAATGTGCGAGAAATGTAAATTGCTAAAACCCATTAAGATTGCACAAAAAGTAAATAACAGAAAATCGAAATGTGCGAGAAATGTAAATTGCTAAAACCCATTAAGATTGCACAAAAAGTAAATAACAGAAAATCGAAATGTGCGAGAAATGTAAATTGCTAAAACCCATTAAGATTGCACAAAAAGTAAATAACGAGAAAATCGAAATGTGCGAGAAATGTAAATTGCTAAAACCCATTAAGATTGCACAAAAAGTAAATAACAGGAAATCGAAATGTGCGAGAAATGTAAATTGCTAAAACCCATTAAGATTGCACAAAAAGTAAATAACGAGAAAATCGAAATGTGCGAGAAATGTAAATTGCTAAAACCCATTAAGATTGCACAAAAAGTAAATAACGGAAAATCGAAATGTGCGAGAAATGTAAATTGCTAAAACCCATTAAGATTGCACAAAAAGTAAATAACGGGAAATCGAAATGTGCGAGAAATGTAAATTGCTAAATTAAAATGGCTCGAAAGTAAATTACCAAGGAAAATACAGAAAGCGATAAATGTACTCAGTGAGCAAGGAAATCCAGATCGCCGAAACTTCATGGTGTTCGTCGTTTCTCCGGTAGACTTTTCACTACTCGATTCGTTCTCCGCCAATTTCTCGCTCCCCTGTTCCTTCCTTCTTTGCTCTATTTATAGGGCATCTTTTAAGCCTTCCAAGAGCGAGTTAACACGATCGTTACCACGTTCTACGTGCGTATGGCAGTTTTCCTTCTATTGTTTCCCCACGTTCCCATGATTTTTGGCTCTTCCATAACTTAGAAACTGCTTTCCATGCGTGCGTTTTGACTATTTTCCTTCAAGGTTTAGCTGGAGTTTCGATATCTATGTAAACGAGCCTTCCCTTAGCTTTTGATCTAATCGAGAACTTTGTGTACTTGCCATCGATTCTTTTTAACCTTAACTTCAACTTTCTTGGTTGGTTCCATACCTTTTCGACTCTACCTTTCGATTGTACTTGCTACGTTCTTTATAATTGATCATCGAAAAGATCTTCATACATTTCGTTCCTCGAATTTCTTTCGTTCGTTTATTGATCATATTTCTGGATTTCATACTAACAAAATGCCCCCTTGAAGGAATATAAATGATTTCAGTTTATATTCTTTCAATATTCCCGCCTTAATGTTTGAAAGCCCACAGAACTTAGGGTTTAGGTTTTCTGGGGTTCTAGGGTTAAAAGGGTTTTAGGTTTCCCTTTCCGTTTTACGTCGCTATCATATCAGTCTGTTGTTTTTACAGCACGTTATATTCATTACTTTTCGTATCTGTCGTTCCAGCTCCCTAGGCGATTTTCTCTTTTAACCTTTCTCTTGGTCTTTGTTCTGGTTTTTACGCGAACTTTTACCCTAAGTCTGTACTTTCATCGTCTTCCTTGAGCTCTTGCTTTCATCTCTGTACCTTCATCTTTTCCGTTGCTTTTCTTCATCCTACTCACTACTGAAATGGCCACTTCCTCCAAGTCTTCTGACTTCTCCGTTCCACCTCTTTCCTCGTTGCCTTCTAACCTGCTGGAAATTAACAACCAGAAGTTCGCTCCAGTCCCTTTGATGGAGGAGGCTTCCCGAAAAATTGCTGAAACGCAGGTACTAATCCCTTACACTGTTGATGGGGTTAATTTTGCTTTTGGGGGTCCCCTCCGTCCTATCGATGACATTTTTACTCCTCTTAACCTCTCGACTAGTCCGGCTTTGGTTCATCAACCTGAAGTTAGGATTGATTTTCTGAATCTTACTTCTAAAGTGTATAGAACGGGCCCTCCTTCCAAAAAGCCTCTGTATATTCGATGGTTTGATAGGGTCAAGGCTAAGTTTGGGGATCACTGGAGGAGTACTGGTATTTTCGATTTTTTGCACCTGTCCCGATGTGACCTGTCTCATTTGGACATGGCGATGTTCTTATCTGCAGTGCATTTATGGAATAAGGATTTACATGCTTTGGAGTTACCTTGTGGCCCACTTTCACCCACCCTTTTTGAGGTCGCGGCTATTACTGGCTTAAAACCTACGGGGGAAAAATATTTCAAGGGTACAAGTCCTTCGGATAATTCTCTGAAGTCTAAAATTGATTGGGAATCGAAGGCCTATGGTCATTTTCTCGAGAAGCATTTTATCGATGACCCTTCGATAGTTGTTACCGATGAAGAGCACGTGGCATTCTTAGTGTATTGGTTGTGTACCCACGTTTTCTGCCCCCGATCGATCCAAATTTCCCCCCATCTTTTTGACCTTGCATATGTCCTGCACATAGGTCAACCTAGGATATGTTTGGCCAAGTTACTATTAGCTCATGTGTATGCTACTTTCGACGAGGCTGTCGAAATTTTGAACACACCTAAAGCATCGGGAAACTTTTCAGGCCCTGTTTGGTTTGTACAGTTGTGGCTCACCTCGATTTTTGATAGTGTCCTTCCTCGAATTTCTTCCGTCCCCCTGAGTGTAAATATAGAAGGGGCCCGATTATCCTCTCGCCACCCTCGTCATAAATCTGATGAGGCTACCTACTGTAAATACCTGCAATTTTTGTTAACCAGATTTACTTTCGACTCAACCCTGGCCCCATTTACTGTACATCTTGGACAAACAAGTAGTCAACTTAGGGGGCCGATTTGGTTTAAATCGAAGTTTCCTGTCTCGACTCCTGGGTTACAAACGGAGCTGATAGATGTGTGGAGTAATTATTTAACCCACGATGTTTTGGTATCGGGTTTTCAGTCGAAAGATTTTAAACTTATCACCTATTACCCCCAGCTTTTCTCGAGACAGTTTGGGTTGAGCCAATCTTTGCCTTTCTTCTCTCTTGATATTTCCCCAAAGTCGAAGTTAACTGAATCCACCATTAGTCGGGAGCTTGTTGAGCTTTTACCAAAAACCCTGATGCATTTTTACCCCTATACTTTCGAGTCGAATTATTTATCAACTGTGGGTTTTTCTCAATGGTGGACCGGTTGGTTCTCGGGTAGTCATGCTACTTTTGATGAAGTTCGACAAAAACTGACTGCTCAACCTTCTCTTGTGTTGCAGGACAAATCGAAATCGAAGAAAGGTACACACTTCCACTGTCTTCAAATATCTCGATTCGAGAACTTTTATCAAATATGTTACACCCCACTGAAATTAGAATCGACCTATTATGATGCTGTTATCTCCTTATCCAATAAAACGGACATTAATCGATCGAATCGAAAAATAATCAATCCTTTAGGTAGCACCCCTTTTGAAATATATTGTCCAAATCGCCTTCCTACCTTTCCTACCGCTCCTTTTGGACTTGCCAAACCATTAACTCATCTAAAATGGGTTCGAGAATTGAGAACCCTCAGGGAAACACGTCACCCAAAACCCAAAAACAAAGATATTTCTGTCTCGAAATTATCTTATTTCTCTTACCTTAACCTCCCTGAGGCTCTTCTGCCTCCCTGGCTTGTACATATCGACCGAGTCAAGATCTTGACTCCATCACCTTTTGGTGAGATTTTACTGCTGTTTTATACTTTTCGATTCTGTATATTATAAGCTAATCTGACTTTTTTTTATTGGCAGTTTCGAAATCTACTAAGGTCACCACTATCGAGAAGGGTCAAGAAAAGGGACAAGAGGATTGGGGATCCTCGGGTGAGTCGGATCCATCAACCTTGATCAGAAAACGCAGACGCTCGGCCACCATTCCTACTTCTTCGAAAAAATCGAAGGTTCTTTTTGACTTTTGTTTTGTCCTATTCATTTCTCTGTTTGATCAATCCTCGTTCTTTATCTTTTTTCGATCTTCTATTTTCAGAAACAAAAATCGAAGAGTCCTCGATCTGTTCGACCAATTGCTCTTGATCCACTATCGACGGACTCTAATACCATCCCCACGACAACACTTGCTACCCGTTCCAGTCACGTAAGTTTCCTTCTTTATACAAATTCTATGTTCTTAAGTTTCGATAAAACTTGTAACAAGGTTTCAAAATTTAATTTTCAGGATCTTCCATCGGAGACTGTATCGACGAATGTCGAATCCCAACTATTAACACCCCTCACTGAGGTATCTTGCATATCATTGTATGATTGCTTTTACTTTTTGTGCACTTCCTGTTCTGACAATGGTTTTCGATTTACAGCAACCTGAGGCTGTACAGATTCTTCCTCCTGCTTCGGCACCACTTGCACTACCTCCCCCTGGTACTTATACTTTTCATTGTCACTTTTTCTCTCATTCTATTATGAACCTCTCGATCTTACATTCTCGATTTCTTTCTTTCCAGTAAATACTCCAATCATCGAAGTCCAAGGCTCTCCTTCCCCTGTTTCTGCAGAGCAAGAGGATTCTCCTCCTTTTGCGATGCCCTCTATCGAGTTGCTCTCGGCGTCATTACCAGAGATAGATGTGTCTGCTCCGAGCACTGCGTTAGAATATCGAGCTGCAATCGAAGAAGACCCTTTTTCTATCCTCGATATTCTATTA